ATTGATGATATCCTTTGGCAACAAGTCTTGCCTTGAGCCTGTCAACTGTACCATCTGGGTTCAATTTTACTTTATAAACCCATCGTGAACCAATAGCCTGCTTCCCAGGTGGCAGATTAGTTAGTTCCCAAGTTTGATTATTTTCAAGTGCATCAAGTTCAGTCTTCATGGCCTGTGTCCAATCTTTACTTTGACTAGCCTGATTATAAGAAGTAGGCTCCTGGACAATCAATAAGGTAGCTAGAAATGCAGCATAAGACGGACTTAGATGTGGCAAAACTTGATAGGGAAAGGTAGAAGGTGAGTAACCTGATGGAGCAAAAAATGCAGTCCTGCAAAGTGAAGCACGATCAGCAGTTGGCAAAACCTGAGATGTGTTAATACTTGTAACAAAATCTTGAAGCCAAGGCGGTTTAGCCTTGGTCCTAGTACTGTGTCGAAGTATAGGAGTGGGAGTATGAGTTAAGTGTTCTGTGGACTGTGTGGCAGGAAGAGGAACTGTAATCAAAGGTAAAGAGTCTGAGGCATTATTATCTGGTAATTTGGTAACTTCATGTTGGCCATTTTCCCTGTTGAGATCATGTATTGGAATACTTGGGTTGGTTTCTCCTGGGTCAAAATCTTGAGGAAAGGGTAGTGGAGGTGAAATAACATCTGAACCTGTCTTCTCAAAAGGAAAAAATGACTCAAAAAACTTGACATCTCTAGATACTTGAATTTGTTTGGTTGAAAGATTGAATACCTTGAACCCCTTCTATCCAGGATTAATACCAAGAAAGATACACTTATACCCCCTTTCTTCGAATTTATCCTTATGTGGTCTAGTATTGGCCATGTAACAGAGTGAACCAAAAGTTTTAAGCAAAGTATAATCAGGTTTCTTTTTGTATAACTTCTCAAAAGGAGTAAGCCATTCCAGAATTTCAGTGGGAAGTCTATTGATGATGTNTCCAGAATTTTAGTGGGAAGTCTATTGATGATGTGAGTAGCCATCAAGATGGAAAAGGGCCAAAATTTTTTTGGTAGACTCGCTTGAAACATTAGGGACCTAGCAATTTGAAGAAGATGCTTATGTTTGCGTTCAACAACTCCATTTTGTTGAGGAGTGTAAACGCAGGTTCTTTGATGCACTATCCCAGAATTTTGAAGCAAGGTTTGACATTCGCCACTAAGGAATTCAGTACCATTATCTGACCTCGGGCATTTAACTTTTCTGTCAAACTGATTTTCAACCATTTTAAAGAAACAATCTAGTGTTTTAGTGACCTGTGTTTTGTGTAGGAGCAAAAAAGTCCAGGTAGCTCGACTGAAATCATCCACCACAGTAAGTATATATGGTGTTCCAGTTAAAGAGTATTGTCTATACGGTCCCCAAAGGTCAACATGGATAATTTCGAATATAGCTTCAGTGTGAATAGAGCTACAAGGAAAAGGTGTTCTCTGTTGTTTTGCTGTGTGACAGATTTCGCAATGATGTAAAATGTCTGTTTCAATGATAGAATGTTTTAGGAAATCTAAATGTTGCAAAGTGTTCAAAGATGTGTGGCCAAGCCTTTTGTGCCATTCGAGAACAGAATCAACAATAGGCGAAATGGAAATTTTATTGATTTCAAAAGTCTGGTTACAAGATGAAAAGGACTTTGAAATTTTTGATTCAATCATAGATCTATCAATATTTTCAGTATTGCTAAAACAGAGGCTAGACTCATCTAACAAGTACAGGTTTCCCACAAGCTTGCCAACTGCTAGAACTTTCTCACTCTGCAGGTCCTGCAATAGGCAAAATGAAGGGTAGAA